CGATAGCGAAGGAAAAGAAATCCGCTATCCAGTTATACTCAATCACTCGGAGAAGCTTATCTCGCGAAAGGTGTGCCTTGCCTTTAAACAGACTGTTTGCGGCTTTGATCTGCTGCGCGCCAATGGCAAAAGCTATGTCTGTGATGTCAACGGATTTAGTTTCGTAAAGAACTCTAATAAGTACTACGATGACTGCGCTAAAATATTGGGCAACATGATACTGCGCGAGCTCACACCGACCCTTCACATACCTTGGTCTGTGCCATTTCAATTAGACGATCCTCCCATTGTGCCCACAACTTTTGGCAAAATGATGGAGTTGCGCTGCGTGGTGGCTGTCATACGCCATGGCGATCGCACGCCCAAACAGAAAATGAAGGTCGAAGTGCGACATCCCAAGTAAGTTAAACCAAGTAGCTAAAATTTCGATTAATTAAAAAAAAGCTTACAATGCACTATGAACTATGGGCAAAAATACCGATAGTGCGGCATTAACTGTAAATTTAAAGATAGAGCTTTGAAGTCTTGCGCACACGTTAGTAATACAAAATTTCGGATTTTTTTTTTTTTTTTTTTTGCCACGCCCTCACCCTTGTCTCCATACATGTGATTTATTTACCGATGAATATCGGTACGATTGCAAGCAATTTCATAAATATTATAAGTTTTAAATTTAATATACACTACATTTGCATTTTAGTTGGCTGATTTCTGAGAAGGGAGGTAAATGTCACATCCATGATTTTTATTTAATGCTTTTATGCAGAGATATTTTTGGTTAGATAGCCCGTTTTCAATTAAAAACGCTAATGCCACCTTCAGCAGTTATGGGTACTGAGCCATTCAATGATAGCTAATTATCCATATCTAATAAATTGTCACTGCTCATAGTTTTTTGTAACACATACATGTTATCGGTTTCTTTGATGAAACTCAATCAGCATATAGCAATATGAGTTTTGAATTATTGCTCTCTGAGGCAAGTTCAGAACCTAATTTCCTCTTTAATCGGGGTCCTGGTTCGTTATAGCGTAAGGTCCTCCGACCCCCCATATTCATATTGTTGCCGTGGCAGTGTATCGTAAGCTTAACACTAGATGCTAGCCAAGGCGTATGTTTTTGCTTAAATCAATTCAGATTACGATTACATTTGCGCAAATTATATCTAATAAATGATCTAAAATTTTAGACTTTTTGCATAATAATGTCCAGTTGCACATAAGATATATTTTCGCTGTTTACATTTTTCAATATAAAATTTCTTTTTTTTTTTATGCATTTTTTATTTGCAATCTGTCTTGTACAGAACAATAAGCAAATCTTTAAACTATAACTAAAAATAACCGGATGGTTTGAACTCCAACGAGATCAATACATATATATACATATTTACATATTTATAGCTTATCTACTAGTAACTCTAACTAACTCTCTACTAGTCTACTCTCTATTTGGCAAATCTAATACGTGGAATCTTTTTAAGCGTCGTCGCTGTTATTTGTGTTGTCGAGGAGTCCAGAAGCTAGAGCATTGCAGTGGTCATGTAGCCTGTTTAAATACCTCTCTGAGGTTTTTTGTATTTCCTCTTTGATAAGAGGAAGTTTGAGGTCTTTATGGATGTCAAAGTTTGTCATATACCATGGAGCTCCTGTTATTGTTCTTAGTGTTTTAGACTGGTAACGCTGAAGAATTTCAATGTTTGATTCACTGGCTGTTCCCCAAAGCTGCAACGCATAAGTCCATATTGGTTTGAGAACAGCCTTAGATAGCCATATTTTGTTTTCAAGGCTTAGCTGCGAGCGCGGTCCTAATAGCCAGTACATTTTTTTATAAACTGAACCCATTTTCAATGGGAAATCAAGGTATAAGGGTTTTGTTGAAATGTATGTAACAGGCAGAAGGAGCCGTGGCAGACCCCACAAAGTATATATATTCTTGATCAGGGCGATGAACTGAGTTGATTTGGCCCTGTCCGTCTGTCCGTATGTATGAACGCGTCGATTTCAGAAGATATAAGATCTAGAGACTTCAATTTTTTTTTTAAATGTCCGTAATTACAGAGCGGATATCAAGTTTATCATTAAAAATCGATAACTCAACCCGATCTTTTTTAATCGATAAAAAACCTTATCGAAAACCAGCTATAAAATTATATCTCCTATACCTTTATTGCTAGAGTCTCCAAATTTTATGTATGCTTATATGCAATTTATGCAATTTCGGTTTTTGTTAAAATTTACCCCCCACCCCTATATCCACCCCCTCACCACCTGTTTGTAAACAGCGTATTTCAAATACTAGAGACTTGTGCTTTAGCAAATACATTCATATCCATATTGTAATCATAATCTGAAAGTTTCATGAAGATCGTATGTCCACAAAAAAAGTTATTAAACAATTAACTTCTCAGAGTAAGCGCACACTGCAGCCCATGCGTGTTTATGCGTGGGTGCTTGTGTGTGTATGCGTGTGTGTATGTGTGTATATGTGAATGCGTGTGTATGTATGCGTGTATGTGCGTGTATGTGTGTGTATGCGTATGAGTGTATGTATGCCTGTGTGTGCGTGCGTGCGTGTGTGTGTGTGTGTGTGTGTTTCTTGTGTAAGCTGAAAGACGCGAAAAATTATTGAAATAGCTATTGCTCCAAGGGTTCAGGGGATCTCGTAGTCGAGCAGTCTCGACTATAGCTTTCTTACTTGTTATTAGTTGGGTTTCGGGTAGTATCTAGTCGAGCACTCTCGACTAGAGTTTTCTTACTTGTTTGTCTCGATTTTAGGTTGTAATTTCTTTGCATTTATATGCTGCCTCCAGGTAAACCTCCGATCCATATGCACTCCCAGGTATTTAACCGTTTCGGTAGCTGGAATGGTGGTTCCATTGAGTAAGACTGTAGGACAGTTCCCGGGTCTGAGAGCGAATGTTACTTGCACGGACTTTTGGGCGTTCACCAAAATTCTCCATTTGTTCAGCCAAACTTCAATCAGACCAAGTTCTTCTTGAATAAGATTGGATGCAACTGTTGGGTCAGTACTGGTAGCAACGACTGCGGTGTCGTCAGCATATGTTGCTAGTTCTACAGCATTGGTAGAAGGCAAGTCGGCTGTAAAAACAGTATAGAGGACTGGGCCTAATACACTGTCTTGAGGGACTCCAGCGTTTACAGTGCGTATACTGGACGATTCATCCTGCTCTTTGACGAAAAAACTCCTGTTTTCCAAATAGGACTTGATAATCAGGAAGTATGGTGCAGGCAACCATTTCTTAATTTTATACAGTAGACCTGCATGCCACACTTTGTCGAATATAAAATTTCTGACAGTGCTTTCTTGCCTATTGTTGCTGTTCCAAACTTCTAGCAAAATGACGTATGTATCTACAACATACGATATTTGGCCAAATGGAGCAAAAAGGAGCAAACATCTGTTATAGCATTTGATTAAGGAACGTTTAGTGAATACCTAGCCTCTTAAACATTTCACAACGGACTCTAACATTATAAGTTATCTTCCACGAAACACATAAATATTTTTGGGGTTACGGCTGAAAATTCAATTAGCAACATATTGGAGTATTTCACACTAAATCACAAGGCACAGTTAATCTTTTGAAACATATTATTTAGCATACCTTTGGACAAACTTTCCGTAATTAAACTTTTTCGTAAATTTTAATTGCAATGGTCATTTTTTACGCCGAAAGATGGGCACGGCAACAATATGAATATGGGGGGCCGGAAGAGGGGTCTGAACTTGCCTCAGAGAGCAATAATTCAAAACTCATATTGCTACATGCTGATTTGGTTTCATCAAAGAAATCCAAAGAAACCAATGAAACTTATGTGTTACAGAAAACTATGAGCAGTGACAATTTATGGGTTATGGAAAATAAGCTATCATTGAATAGCTCAGTACCCATAACTGCTGAAGGTGGCATTAGCGTTTTTAATTGAAAACGGGCTATCTAACCAAAAATATCTCAGCATAAAAGCATTGAATAACAAATAACAAGACTCTAGTCTAGACTGCTCGACTTGGAGATACCCTGAACCCTCTAATCTGATATTCTAATCACTCTATTCTATTCACGCACGTCTTAGAACGCGCTCTGCTAACTGCGCAGTCAGCAGCGACTGCGCTTGGGCTGCGCTGCAGTGTGGGCAACATTATAAGAATTAATTTGTTTAATAATTTAATTTCTTGACGTACAATCATAATGAAACTTTCAGAACATAATCATAATTTCAAGTCTCTAGACCTTATATCTTCTGAGATCGACGTGTTCATACATACATACGGACGGAGGGACAGACGGACAGGGCCAAATTGACTCAGCTCGTCATCCTAATCAGAAATATAAAAGTACACTTTAGTCGAGACTGCTCGACTACGGAATCCTCTGAGCCCTTCTAGGAATTTATATTTTAATAATTATTCGCGTATTTTTGCTTACTCAAGAAACACACATACAGACACACATAGGCACGCATAAACACGCATGGACTAAAGTGTGGGCTTACTATGGGAAACTAATTGTTTAATAACTTTTCTTGACGATAAACTATCTCCTTGAAACTTGTAAATCGTGATCATAACATTGAAATGCGTGCATGTGCTAAAGCACAAGTCTCTAGTATTTGAAATACGCCTTTTACAAAGGTAAGGGTGAGGGGTGGATATAGGGGTGGGGGTTAAATTACAACAAAAACCGAAATTATATAAAATAAATGTAAGTCTACATTCTAAAGGTGGAGGATATATAATTAAATAACTAGTTTTCGATAACAAAACATCAATTTTTGGAGATATGTGGGTGGTATACACGGACCTAGGAACAAAATTTCAAGTCTCTTAGATCTTCTGAGATCGACGCGTTCAAATATACGGACGGACGGACAGACGGACAGAGCTAAATCGACTCAGCTCTTCGCCCTGATCAAGAATATATATACTTTATGGGGTCTGCCACGCCTCCTTCTGCCTGTTACATACATTTAACAAAACCATTATACCCTGATTTCCCATTGAAAATGGGTTCAGGGTATAAAAATCCGAAATTTTGTATTAATATTACTAACGTGTGCGCAAAATTTCAAGGCTCTATCTTTAAATTTATACTTAATGCCGCACTATTGGTATTTTTGTCCATAGTGCAGTGTACGGTCAAAATGATTGATTATTTAGCATAAAACCATCATTTTTAGGTTTACAAAAATCTAATTTTGGTCTTATTTTATTAATTGTAAATTCAAAAGATAAGAAGAATAAAACCTTTTTGAAAGTATACTACAACTAAATAGACTTTTCATCTCGTAAAGCAATAATTTACTCTTGAATGTTAACATAACGACGGTATTAAAAGCTCTTTGAATTTACATATTTTTGTGTAATACGCCTTTTTAATGAGTTTTTACTGATTGCTTAATTTGCTCAGCTAAACTATTCAGTTTACCAAGGATCGTAACGATGATTATTTTTTATAGAAACAAGAAATAAGAGTAATTTTTCAGCTATTTAAAATAAAGTACATATTTTTAATTATTCAAAGTGATTTAGATGTCAAAAATAATAATTATTATTACTAGAAAATTTTGATATAGAAATTAAATCAAAACTTTTAAATTAAATTTTTATTGTACATATAAATTAAAAATAAAGCTTATCTCTTAAATTCTATTATAACAAGTAAGAACGTTGCAGTCGGGCGTTACCGACTGCGGAATACTCATTCACATCCCATCAACAATTTAGTAGTTAAGTTTCGCTCTAATACTGTAGAATATACAGGTTTTTCCGATTTGCCACGCCCCAACTGGACGTAGACACCTCATTTTTGGTCAGTTTTTAGAACGAGATAACGGTACCCTAACTGCAAAGTTTGAATGCTTACTCTCAAAAAAAGTGAAAATTACAGGGTATTTTTCGATATGCCACGCCCCTAAAGAGGCGTAAAAATACACTTCGCGTCATCAGGTTAGCGCCCCCCCTTACACTCATTTTCTTTTACGTTTTTCTCTTTGCCTATTGCACGTAACTTCTTGGTTTTTTTTTTATTTCATTATCATCATATGAGATGTCTCTCATACCAAAAAAAAGCGCGAGTGAAAACCCGTTATGTTTTATTTTCTATTCTGCTCTATTTTCGCAAAAAATGTGTGCACTTATTTTGCGTCATCAGATTAGCGCCCCCAAATGCAATTGTAATTATCTTGCTTATTTTGGCAATTACGCTCACCAAATTTTTTGTGAAGCTTAAAGTATTCAATATATTTATAGTATGGGTAAAGAAACAGTTTTATCTTTGGTTGAAAATCAAAGATTGAGGCATACTTTGAATCTAGACTATGCAACCAAAAAATTGCTGAAAAAACAGGAAAAAAAACAGAAATCTAAGTGGCAATTTTCTTACAAATAGGGAAAACTATGGAAAAAACTATATACGCGGCAATAATCAAGCGATTTCAGAAGGAAATAGAAGAGCATTAGTTCGGGAAGCTTCGAATTCCCATGAATCGACCACCAAGATTAGGGATAAAATCGGTGTTAAGACGAGCTTATCAACGGTCCAAAGAGCAATAAAGAAAGTTAATTACCTAAAGAAACAGAATGTAAAAAAAAGACACCAGTCGATATGCTGAGAAAAGAAATACGCATTAATTTTGGCAGGGCGAACATGACGTGGTCTACCCAATGGCAGCATGTAGTCTTTTCTGATGAGAAAAATTGAATTTGGAAGGAGCTGATGGCAAAATTTATTATATCCATGACCTACGCATAGAAGAACATTATTTGGAACGGTTTCCAAGCCGTTGCGGCGGGGGGTGGTGTGGCATTGATGTAGGGTGCAATATCTTACTACAGCGCTTGTAAGCTTCAATTTTTGACATCGCGCATGAACGCATAGGACTATAACATCGTGTTTAAAACTGCTGTTCCGCATTTCTATAACCTGTCTGAAAACCGGCATTAGATTTCCCAGCATGATAATGCTCCAAATCCAAATCCTAATCCCTGAAGTCCTGGATTCAGGGCCAAAAAATTGATCTCATGGAGTGGCCACCATATTCACTCGACCTTAATATCATTGAAAACGTCTGGGGATGGTTGATCAGGAAAGTATATGAGTCCGAAAAGCATTATTGTGCAAAGATAGAGTTGATCGAAGGTACTGAACACGCTTGGTCAACCATATCCTTGAATAATATTGAACAACTTTATAATTCCACTCCTAATCGAATTTTTGAAGTAATTTCAAACAAAAAACGGCACTACGCACTACTAATATTACTTAAAAATAATAATAGCTTAAAATACAGGTGTTATTTTTGGTCATTAACTTAAATAAATTGAATTTAGCGCAGGGGGCGCTAATCTGATGACCAAATTTTTGTTACATGTTTTTTGTACATTCTACAAAAAAAATTATTTAAAAATAATCCTTATTGTTACAGTAGCCATTCTTTTTGTATTTTAAAGAGAAATAAATTGAGTATAATGTAAAAAAAATTCAAAGATGGAGCTCTGATGGTTTAGATTTTATTTAGCTTTGAGGTTGAGTGTAAAGGGGGGCGCTAACCTGATGACGCGCAGTGTATATATATATAATATATACATATATATCAACTATCCAAATTTGAAGCTTCTAGCTATTGTACTTTAGGAGATATAAACTTTTGTGGTTTGCCACGCCCCCTGTGGGCGGACATATATCTACCATAGCTCGTTGGACTTAGGTGGTCAACCTGCGTAAATATACCAAATTTCAGGTCTCTAGCGTCAATAGTGCCTAAAATATAGCAGAATTCGAAAAATCACTATATCTTCAGGTCCGATTTGCCACGCCCCTAGTAAGCGTAGATATAAAATTCACCCATCTTTATAGAATTAAAACATCAGCTTACGTGCACGGAAGGAAACATTTTTATAAAATTAATAAAATATAAAAAAAAAACTAAAATAAAGATTTGCAATTTACAAAAAAGAGTTTTCCGCGGAATTTGAACTCGCATCCAAGCGGAATAGCATGTTCATGTCAAAATATCTAAAATAAAGATCGCCGGCGCTTCTGCCTACAGCACCAGCGCATCGTTTCGAACAAAAGTAGTTAAAACGAAATCACTTTATTGTTATGACGCCACATAGCAAAGAAAAGCCAGTGTAGCGGCTGGAAATTCAAAAACAATGCAAAGACAAATCAATCGCAACGAGGTTCTTAGAATATGCTAGAGTACGCATTAATGTGTACATACATACACACATGCAAATGAGCGCGAGTATAAGGCTGGAATGCTTGATGCTATGCGTGCAGACTTACATATATACATATGTATGTACATATATGCGTATATGTATTTGAGGGCTATTTAAGAAGAAACAAAAATAAAATTTTTCGACTAAGAAAATAAAAGTATTAATTTCCATTCATTCAAGCTCGCACCTTCCCAATAAAATATCTATTTTATAAAAAACGAAATATGTAAAAAAAAAAAAAAAAAAAACATCGAAGAGGTTTCGAACCTCTAACATAATTTGCGTCACCCTTAGCACCCGCGCCACTGCTTTGCTTGACCACCAAGTTGCTAAAATAGAATAGCTTAATAAGAGAGCGTCATCAGACAAAACTATAGTAACGGCTAGAAAGTCCAGCAATCAATCGAAATTCTAAGAACGTGAGAAAAGGCACGCTTCTGTCTGTAGGCATTGAATAGACGATGAGTGTGTGCACATGTATAGGAAAATCGCGCTGATCTGCTGCTAGCTTGAAGCCGGTATCCAATATATGGATATAAATACATACATATATAATAAAAATCAAAATTTTATAAATTATATATGTATGTATTTTGAATGCAATTATGCTCGATGATTTTCCAATTTTAATGGGATCACACCCTGTTTTTTGTTGCGCACTAGACTTGAAAATTGCACTATATACTCTGGTTAACAGCGTTTGGGCTGTGAATGAGTCTTCTCCAATCGGTATCGCCCGACTGCAACGTTCTTACTTGTTATAATAAAAATTGAAAAAAGGTTTTTGATTTTTATTTAAAAATTTACGAATAATAATTATTTGTATTTTGATCATATATATGAATTTAAATAATTAAAAATAAATTTAAAATGACGAATTGCAAATAAAAGTTTATCTTTTTATCTTGTCTATTTTCCCCACACATGGAGATTTATTTGTGCGTCCATTTTTTTTTTTAAATTCATAGCTTTTATTTCCGTTCCGTGATTTTTACTCTTGCAGATTTTTTGAGATATTTGAAAAATATGATGGATACAAGCTGGGTCATGTGAAGCTTAAGAGACCTAAGCAACTGCAAGAGATACTCGACATTGCACGATTTTTGCTCAGCGAGATACACACGAAGGCGCACGCGGAAATTGAGGAGAAGGAGAGTAAGCTGGAGCAGTTGAAGAATGTTCTTGAAATGTATGGCCATTTCTCGGGTATTAATCGCAAGGTGCAGATGAAGTATCAACCGAAGGGTCGACCCCGTGGCTCCAGCTCTGATGATGGTAGGTACTTGCCTGTTCTGTTAACTAATCTAACCACACGCTAAGTCCTATCCATTCCAGCCGAAACACCCGCCGAACCGTCGCTGGTTCTCATCCTTAAATGGGGCGGCGAACTAACGCCTGCAGGTCGCATTCAGGCTGAGGAATTGGGTCGCATATTCCGTTGTATGTATCCGGGCGGTCAGGGGCGTTCGGATTATTCAGGAACCCAGGGTTTGGGTTTGTTACGGTATGTTCTAACTATAACCAAATTTCAAATGCCTCTTCGCCCCAAATTTCAAATGCCGCTTTCATATTTTTAGTTTGCACTCAACTTTTCGTCACGACCTCAAGATTTATGCTTCGGACGAAGGACGAGTGCAAATGACCGCAGCTGCTTTTGCAAAGGGTCTACTCGCCCTGGAGGGCGAGCTGACACCCATTTTGGTTCAAATGGTGAAGAGCGCGAATACAAACGGACTGTTGGACAATGACTGCGATTCGAGCAAGTATCAGAATCTGTAAGTTATCCGCACGATCCAAATGAATAACATATGTACATATGTAGCCTTTACTTGTTAGACAATTGATCGCTTACAAAAATAGTATTTTGATTAAATTGAAATTTATGACGGAATGAATGTCACTTCTATAAGTGTGTGTGCAGAAGCCACGAATGGTTTTACAATTAGATTATAATTTTCGTAGAATTCCAACAGTCTTTAAATAATAGAGCAATTTATTCTACAACCCATTAAAAATAGGAAATCAGGCAATAATATTTTAGTGAAAAGTATGTAAGAGGCAGAAGGAATCATCGCAGACCCCATTAAATATATATATTCTTGATGAGGGCGACGAGCTGAGTCGATGCAGCCCTGTCCGTCTGTCCGTATGACCAAGTCGATCTCAGAAGATATAAGAGCTAGAGAGCTGAAATTTGGCATGCATACTCGTACGCAGTATGAGTTTATCATATTATTTCGATATCTCACCCTATAACATTTTTTATCGAGAATAATAGAAAAACAAGTAAGAAAGCTCTAGTCGAGAGTGCTCGACTACGATATCTCCTGAACCCTTCGAGCAACTGATATTTCAATAATTATTCGCATATGCAACTTAACTTTTCTTGTGGATGTACTTTTTTCATGAAACTTTCACATTATGATTATAACATTGATATGCATGCATTTGTGAAAGCACAAGTCTCTAGTTAATGAAACACGTATTTTACAAATATGTGGGTGAGGGGGTGAATTAGGAGTGGGGGTAGATTTTAACAAAAATCAAAATTGTATAAAATGCATATAAGTAAATATTTAAACTATATATTGGAAACTCTAGTTTTAAAGATGTAGGAAATACAGTAGAATCCGGTTATAGCGACACTCGAGGGACCGTCGATTTAACGTCGCTATACCCGGAGGACGCTTTAACCAGAAAGAGTAAAAAATATTTGTTTCCATTTTTACGGTTGTCATGTTCGTAATAGCTTTTACTATAAAACAATTTAAATTTTTAATCAAAACAACCATTTTGTATAAACTTCTTTCAATAACATGGTTTAGAAACATTTTTGTGACGTCGGCATTGTACTTTGTCTCTCTCCCTCTCTCTGTCTTAGCAGCATTTGTGGCGTTGCTACGAACACAAGCAAGGGTACTGATCACTGATCAATATATACATGTATACATTTCTAACAGAGTCTTTTTATGCTGAAATTTGTTGTCATTATTTCGCAATTTTTTTTATCACGTAGTAATAACCGGTGATTGAATTAAAAATATGAAAAAAATTGTCGGCATACGCGGATTGTCGTTAAAAGTGGTGACGTACTAAGCGGAGGCTCTTTCATATAAGTTTGTATGGGGACCAACGAAGACATCGAATTTTCGTCGACATAACCGGTTGGACGCTTTAAGCGGAGTCGTTATAACCGGATTCTACTGTATAATTTTAAAATTTATTTTCGATAAGGTTTTCTATCGATAAAAAAAATAGCGGGATGAGTTATCGATTTTTGGTGATAAACTCGATATCTGCACTGTATATACGGACATTTAAAAAAAATTTGAAGTCTTTAGCTCATATATCTTCTGAAATCGACGCCTTCATACATACGGGCAGACGGACGGACGGACAGGGCCAAATCAACTCAGCTGCTCGCCCTGATCAAGAATATATATACTTTGTTGAGTCTGCCCTGCCTCCTTCTGCCTGTTACATACATTTCAACAAAACCATTATACCCTGATTTCCCATTTTCAATGGGTTCAGGGTATAATTATATATATGTATATATATATATATATATATATATATATATATATATATATATATACAGTAGTATATATATATATATATAAATTAATTATATATATATAATTATATGTTTAAACAATGCGGTTAGTTAAATAGAAAGATGACTTTATTTTAATAGCATTGGAGTTGAACAAGTTTCTTCTTGTGATGCAGATTTACAACTAAACTCTAATTCTAAGCTTACTGTGCAATGCGTCGGCGTTGGCAGCTATAAAGTTCCAGCATCGGATGACATTGCTGTTACAAAGCTCTAGGTGGCCTGATCATGCAGTTACCTTTCTTGTAAAAGCTTTAAGTGGCGTGATCCTCCGTAACTTCGCTTGCAAGCTTTGAGAGTCGCAAGATTAAGTTACAGAGTGGCTTAAGAGAGATTATGTATGCATACGAAATACTCTAGTTTGTTGGAGTATGATGAATACGTAACTCTTCCAACCCGAGAATGTAGCCTGTCCTCAGGCGGTACACTTGAACTATTACCATTCTACATAGAACATTTTTGTATCTTGAATTAGTTAACAATTAAGTAAGTAATTTATGATTTTTTTTTTTTGCAAATATTGATTAACATACTTATTATAGTTGACTATATTATATAGTGTGACTAACAATTCGTTGTTTTTCACAATTTTGTTTGTTTGTATTCTTTGCTATTTTTCTAATATTAGATATTAATATTTCGGATTATTTTAGACGTTCAAATATCAATTCTGAAAAGCTGATGTTAGGCTAAATAAATTTTCCAAAATGTTTTAATAATAGTAATAATAATGATAGCTCAAAAAATTTTGGTGGAATCAATTGTCATCAGTATGAGTCATACGAACAAGTTCGGAGGCCTGGTGTGATAGTTAGAGTCATTAATAACCCTCTTACGCATAAATTGATTTTTATGATGAATAAACTCCCTTCCTCTGTTTAATTCGCTAAGTGTCAGTTCTCATCAGCAGCCTTAATTTTGGCAGTTTTCTTGAATGGGTTTTGAAGTTTGCCTTTCAATATTGGTGCTTTTTATACCCTGAACCCATTGAAAATGGGAAATCAGGGTATAATGGTTTTGTGAAAAGTATGTAACAGGCAGAAGGAATCATCGCAGACCCCATAAAGTATATATATTCTTGATCAGGACGACGAGCTGAGTCGATATAGCCCTGTCCGTCTGTCCGTCCGTCCGTCCGTCCCTCCGTCCGTCCGTCCGTCCGTATGAGCAAAAGGATCTCAGAAGATATAAGAGCTAGAGAGCTGAAATTTGGCATGCATACTCGTGTATACCATAGGCAGTACGAGTTTGCTTTATTTTTTCGATATCTCACCCGATAACTTTTTTATCGAGAATAATCGAAAAATCGACTTGGTTTTTTTAGCCTAGTTTGAACACTTTTAAACCTGGAGACTTCAAATTTGCGTTGTATATAGAGTTAATGGACACAAACATTTTGTAATTCACAGATTTTGGATACCACGCCCCCTTCGCCCCCAATTCGTAAAAAACGCATTTCAAGTACTAGAGACTTGTGCTTTGGAATGTACACACATTTTAACCATATGATTACGCTCTGAAAGTTTCATTAAGATTGTATGTCTACAAAAGAAATTATTCAACAAATAAATTGTCATAATATTGCCCACATTGCAGCGCAGCCCAAGCGCAGCCGCTGTTTAAAGCGCAGTTAGCAGAGCGCGTGCTTATAAGTGCATGTGTATGTATGTGTGCATAAAAGAAGTCCAGAATGATTAGAATATCAGCTTGGAGGGTTCAGGGTATCTCCTAGTCGAGCAGTCTCGACTGGAGCCTTCTTACTTGTTTATATTTCGTATTGACTTCAAAAGATTTATCTATTTTCATTGACTTTATTAATTTTTTGTGTTTTTAAGATTTGATTACTGTATGCAGGGGTACCTGCAAAAATAAACAAATGGGCTGGTGTTCTACCTGTGCTATTGTGTTTAATTTTATGATTATAAATGAATCATTAGTATTTATTATTTTAATACGCTCGTTTAAGGTTTTGTGAAATCGTTCAATGTCAGCAACCCCTGTCTTTGTTGATGCTAATTCTAATTTAACCTCCTCCGAAGTCAACCATTGTTTAAATGCGTTACTTGTGAAAGCTGAGTCTCTGTCTGCTTTGAGTGTTATCGGCTTGCCCATTTGAGTAAATACTTGTAACAGTGCACGTTTGGCTTCCAGCCAGTCACGGCTTTTCACTTGCACTAACATGACAAATTTTGAATATATGTCGATACATGTTAGATAAGTTTTATGCTTTGAAATATAAAAGTCTATCATAAATATTTCGCGCGGATTGAATACTTCTGGTGTTAATTCAAATGGGGCGTTAGTATTTCTGTGTTCTGTTTTTGACAATTGGTAAACATCACATTGATTAGTAATGTTTTGTATCAATTTACCAGAATCTGGGAAATAATAACTTTCTTTGAAAAGTCTTAACATTTTTTCTATGCCAGGGTGGATAAGCTTAATATGTTGTTATACCCTGAACCCATTAAAAATGGGAAATCAGGGTATAATGGTTTTGTGAAAAGTATGTAACAGGCAGAAGGAATCATCGCAGACCCCATAAAGTATATACATTCTTGATCAGGACGACGAGCTGAGTCGATATAGCCCTGTCCGTCCGTCCGTCCGTCCGTATGAGCAAAAGGATCTCAGAAGATATAAGAGCTAGAGAGCTGAAACTTGGCATGCATACTCGTGTATACCATAGGCAGTACGAGTTTGCTTTATTTTTTCGATATCTCACCCGATAACTTTTTTATCGAGAATAATCGAAAAATCGACTTGGTTTTTTTAGCCTAGTTTGAACACTTTTAAACCTGGAGACTTCAAATTTGCGTTGTATATAGAGTTAATGGACACAAACATTTTGTAATTCACAGATTTTGGATACCACGCCCCCTTCGCCCCCAATTCGTAAAAAACGCATTTCAAGTACTAGAGACTTGTGCTTTGGAATGTACACACATTTTAACCATATGATTACGCTCTGAAAGTTTCATTAAGATTGTATATCTACAAAAGAAATTATTCAACAAATAAATTGTCATAATATTGCCCACATTGCAGCGCAGCCCAAGCGCAGCCGCTGTTTAAAGCGCAGTTAGCAGAGCGCGTGCTTATAAGTGCATGTGTATGTATGTGTGCATAAAAGAAGTCCAGAATGATTAGAATATCAGC